TAGAGTTGCCATTTTTCAAGGGGTTGGGAAGACTCAGCCAATTCTTTCACGCCATTCATAAGTGGAATGGCGCAGATGGTGCAGTGAAGAAAGGCGCACTGTTAAAAGTGATGGTCATAGTTCGGATCCCGGTTCGATACTCGCCCAGGGAACCAACTTTTCCTTCCTCCACGATTCTTTATGGAAATCGAGTGGGGACACAATCCGAAAGCAAACAGGATTGATTAACCTCGAAACTGGCCAGCTTTTTACGTTTGTGGCCGTCAAAAACGATTGTTGGTACGGTACGGCTCTTCAACCTGCATCTTCCGGAGTAAAAACATCATCCTTGCTGAGTTTTAAACAACGCAGTCAACAAGCTGCGGTCCGTCAACAAGGGCATGGCCAGCAGGCGATGTAGAAATCAAAGCTCTTCTCAGGGAGTTAATCATTTCCGGAAACAACAACGAGGGAAACTGGGGCTTTGGGGCTTAGGTTACGGACAATGCAATAGTGTAACAACAAATGAGCCATATACAACTGATGCAGACTTCTACCAATGCGTCAGACGCTGAGCACTTGTGAAATAAGTTGCAGTTGTTGGATAGACTCAAAAAGAAACCCTATGGTTATCTCGAAAAGCTTTCATCAATAATGAGTTGCTGCCCTTATTAACCGCTGTTAGTCGCCGCAGTCCCGCCTCAGACCGAAGTTTTTTCCACAAATTCCCAAACTACATATGAGCCAACTTCATCAAGGTTACCGATGCGAAAGGATGTTGAGGTTCGAAAACGCATTGGAGCCACATTGGGAGATAGCTCTCTCACGTTTCTCGAATTGAACAGCTATGTCTTCAACATTAAGGAAGCTTACTGCCCTGCCTAGTCCCCATATATCACTTCTGGTACGTAGCACACTCAGATCACTGATATCACTCGAAAATGAGCTAAGGTAATGTTTGGTATTGATGTTACCATGCAATGGAGTTAGTTCAAATTTATTTCTTTTGAAAGTACTCAGAGAATTCCACCAAAAATTACGAAAAGAAGGTTATGGACTTCCTCTAAAGGTATAAGGGCGTTTAAAAGGTGTTTCATTGTCATATTTCAAAACTCTATTCTGAAATAAAATGTAACTACATACAACTGATGAAAGAAATCGTGTCAGTAGGAACTGATTCATATCGATAACCATTGCCAAGGAAAACAGTATAAGAGATTGCGGAGCAGCTGGGTGAAGTGCCTAGCGCGGTGATTTTCGCGCAGCTTTTCGAACAATCAGGAAAGCAAACAGACTCCAGCAAAAAAGTCAATGGTTTAAGATATGGCAACATTATCGACATCTCTGGGATCCACTACAAGTTACGGGATCCTACCTGAATTCTGGAAGGCATTTTGCGAATACATATCTGATAGGTCTGATGATTCTGGCTACGCTTCTGAGAATTCTTTTCCTCTAACATTGTACTAATGAAAGTGAGGACAAACCGATTGGTTAGTTGGGATACGCTCTGCACTCATCCTTGATTTGGAGTGGGAGGGCACAAATGGGCTGTGCAATATGAAGCTTATGAGAAGTAATTGGTGCTCAGATCAGTGTTTCGGCCTCTCACCAAGGCCTGCCACCAACTAGCCGGCCTCTAGGGTTCGTTAAAGTTGGTGGGCCTGACCGCAGAATTTGGAGCAGTTCAAGCAATGACATCTAGGCCTTCTGTGCGAACTGTGACAATAAACGATTTCGGAACAAACGTTTTCATTGTAAGTCACTCTATTCTGTATCGTGAGGGTGGTGGCGAGAGGGGGGGATGGCGCACAATCGCATGTGTGGCCCGCATTTCTTGGATCAGTACTCGCCCAGGCCAATCAGTCTTTCTTCTTCATCGAGGTCTATCATTTGGTACCGAATGATCTTAGAAGAATTAGAACGCCGACTTGTACATCTGATTGGCTTCAGCACGTTATTGTATAGCCACATACGTATGGAGGATCTGAAATACCTCCAGGACTTCCACTGGAAGTCGAAAATGGGGAAGCACCACGAAAATGAGATTGAGAATGTCCCAATAAACCCTATTTTTCCATTTTACTTATTTATAGCTCTCGAGTATCAATTTCAGGCTGCCTTTTGGATCTATTGGTCAAGATAGAACTTGGATAATAATCGAATTCTCATCATTTCTGATCACTGGCAGTCAAATCTGGGCCAGTACCAGATCCTAGGGTAATCCCGCTGATCCCAGTGAGAGTACCATCTAACTTGCCTTTAATTTTCGGATGAATGCTGCTCTTCTTTGCTTCATCCAAATTCATACATTAGGACCGAAAGACAACGAATTATTGACAAACCTGCGCCAGATAGCAACGAACAGCGCACTGGAGCTTTACGATCATCTTAGCGAGAGTAGCATCTCGTAGCTCTTCCATTTTGGCGACTGTACCTGCACGGAAGAACACCTGAAATATTGTGAAAATCCGTCGATTGAAGGCATAGAAGTGCTGGGGAAGAAAACGAGGTTTTTCACGAGGCTAGAGGATCTGGTCTACTAATGTCATTACAGATTGCTCAACGGAGTTAGGCTAGGTATATTGCAGCCCTCACAGTTGCACTGCAACCAAGGACCAAATATTGGTACAAATGTAGGTCTTGGAAGTTCGTGTTTTGCTGATGGGGGCCGAATCACGGTGACGAACTGCAGAGACTCTCTGGTCCCTACTACTACAACTCCTTCGATACCCTTTCTCCAAGGGAGGTCCCAACCACTTTTACAATCAGAGGGAAGTCTGACAATGAGCCAGGGAAGCGCATGGGGACGTGTTGCGTGATGGAACGAGAGAAGGACGTACCAAGGGATATTACGATTCCCGAGGGATTAGTGTAGCGACTTTGAAGACATTCCCTATAGTTTTAAGCTCCCTGTTTGTTCACACTACTGGACAAAAGGAAGAAATCTGTATGCATTCAGCAGCAGTGGAGAAAAGGAAGGAATCCAGTTACTCCTTCTCAAATAACTCACCTTAGTCGAACCGACTTTGAACATGTCGTCTTTGATTTTGTTCTCCTTTGTGAGTCTCTCAAGCATTCTCTTTGAGGCCTGAAATTAGCTCATTATCCCTTCGCGCGTCATTATCTGATTATCTCTTACTATGAGCTTATTTGCTTCAGTATGAAGTTCTTGTCGGCCACACTGTCTCATTATTCGCTCAGCCACTCGAAGCCCTTGCTCGAGTGTGGAAAAGCGGTGATAGAAGGAGGACATTGTTGGTGGGATGTCATTTATTCGTTTATCAACCACTATACCGAAGGAATCTTGATGAACTTTTTCTTCTTGCTCTCATCATAACAATAGAATGCATCTCACCTCGGCCACATCGTTTCCAGCGGCTTCATCGGCCGCCAGAATCGCGTATCGGAAACGGAAATCAGCGAACGTCATGCGATTGGGGAAGCCTTTTCGGCATATCCGAATACCTTCCAGCACACCATTGCAGGTAAGCTGAGAAATCGATAAGATAGGCACAAACTGGCTAAGTTCAGAGGACATCCTGTTATGAAATAATGTGTCAGGCGAGTATCTCTTCGGGATTTACCTGATTGAGAACAAGCGGGGCGTCGATCAGTCCACTGGTTTTCTTTTCGTTCGGAATTATGCACCTGAATGAAATTGCGTTCATGAAGTCAAGAATGAGTTTCGACCTAAGAGAATAGAGCTTGAATGATCCTCATGTGTGAGCATTACATTCCTTTTTGGAATGGTGTGAAGCTGTCTGCGAATGTGTTTCATCTGTACATGAGGAAGGCAACAATGTATGCATTCTGAATGATGTTAAAAGCACAGTTCACGATAATTTTGGGTAATCCAGATTATGATGAAAAATGTAAGACAAGATCGGAACTAGTGCGAGTGAGGTGAAGAATGCGTGCATCGGTGTTTCCAAAGTGAAAAAGGCTTCCAAAAATCGTTAAAAAGGGGGCTGGACGAGAACGAAACAAGACAAATGAAGAAGAGTGGGGCGTCCGGACGAGCTAAATAGTGTGTTTCACTGCGCGCGTGTGGGTCCTGGTGCGAATAACAGACAATGGTAAGCAAAAATTCATTCACTTATAAGCATAAGTAAACAAAAACCCCTAGTAACAGCAAAAGTAGCTCACCTTATCCAGCCTCTAGGAGTAGGAAATTGAATAAGGGAACGCGCAAGCAAAAAGAAATACAGAGGAAAAAAGAATGGGATAAAAACATCGCCTCATCACTCGGCGATTAGCTGACTGTGCGTGGGTCCTAGAACGAATAATAGCAGTCTGTATTGTCTCGACACTCGTCTAAGGTGACACCGATCGAGGGGCGGTAAAGCGAACTACGGCGGCAACGGGGCTTCCACTATGCCTTGAGCGCCGAGATTGTGGAAGCGGGAGGGTCCCTTCTACCACCCATGGGGACCGCTGAATATTCCTAAAGGAAGAACTCAGAAACCTTTTTTATCGTGAACCGTGCCTTTAAATACTTATATGATCCGCTAGATGTGTGTGTGTAGTATGAGTATGTATTTTTCCGACCCGAAATTCAAAAGAGATACAAGTGACAAAATGGCAACACTAATGGTCGGTGGCAGGACCTGACTCCGCCCACAGCGGGAGGAGCTTGCGCGAAAGGACCCAAAAGCGTCCCAACTGCCCGTCTCCCTCCAATTTTGAGGAAACGTAAGCGGCAGGCCATTTTTACACGGGAAGGCTGAGCTGCCGGCGTTAGCTGAGAGGTCCAACCGGTATGAGAGAAAGGGCCTTGCCATGCATACCGACACTATCTATACATCGACATGAAAGCTACGGAAGTTTTGGTGGAGAAGTGACGGCATTCGTATAATGTTTGGGCTATGAGTTGAAGGTGAATGTGTGGCACAAACAGGAAGGATTTGACCGACGCGTCATCTATCGACTTACCTTATGAAGTGTGGATGAGTTGTGTGAAGCATAGTCATGAGGCTGGCAAGTGACTCCCTGTACATACTCGATACAGTAAGAAATGAAGCTGATTTGCCTTTTTTGCGATCCTGCGCCTTGCCTTGAAAATTTTTCATGTCATGCGGGTGAATGGAATGAAAGGTATTTGGAGGTTGCCAACCTCGTGAAGCGAACTCCTCTCTGTCCACATCGGTCATGTAGTCTTCCCAAATTTGATAGATTAAACTGCTCTTGTCGCACGTCTTCAGTACGGCTACAGCTGAGTCGTTCAGCGGATCCTGAAAAGATGGGATTTGCATTAAAACACAAATCCCATTGCTGGGATCTCTTCAAGCCCTGTTTCGTATGGGGAATGTGTCGGACAGAATCACGCCTGAGTGACTTTTGTGTTACTCAGTTTCTCGAGCATGCGCTGAGCGATCTATTCACAATCGAAGTTTGGGGTTCCCTTTAGTGGCCCATAAGTAGACATGTGGAAAGCTACGATACCTTGTTCTTATCCAGCCACTGATCAGCGTTGTATCGAACAGTACCAGCATAGTGCACGACGGCGAAATGTGCAGGCGCCTGATTTCCCTTCGGTGGCTTTGCCTGTAATGAAAACTTTCCATCGTCGTCTACGTCATTTCCTGGCTGAAAAGTTCTTGGTTCGACGTCCTACTATCATTATTATTCAAGTTTCCGAGTGCTTGTAAGTAACTCTCAGTCACTGAGATGGACATAAACTTTCCGGGTAGGTTCCTGTCGAAATATTTGCCAAAGTATAAATTTTCATAAGATCAAATGAGGCCTAACTCCCCGAAACTGACAAAATCTAAAGAGATAGAAAGACGCATTCGGCGCTGTGAGGTTACTTTTACGAGCTACAAAGCTTTTCCGTGACACAACAACACTAGTAAAGGAAATTATTACGGAATTTGGTGAAAATGTTATTGGGGGTGTCAGGTCCTTTTGTGCCCTGCGTCTCTTCAATTCTTACCCCATGAAATCATCTCACCCACCCCGGAGCTCCCACCCTTCTAAAAGTTAGGGAAGGGGGAGGGTGAACTAATTGGATGTTGAATTCTTACCTCATCCCAGTTTTTC